ACCAGTACAGAAGCACCACATTTTAAACCAGTTTAAACTGGGACAGGGTGCAACCCGGATCAAGACAAGAACTGAGAGATTCCTCAATCAGTTTCAGTAAACCCCACTAATACCCCGTGTAGGAAAGAAGACTCGCTTGTCACTCCTGTTCTGTCCCGGTGTCGCAGTAACTGGGACTGAAGCAGACGGAGAGGAGACGTGCACTTCCAGAACTTTCCTTCCCGCTCAGTTCTTCCAGCTGAGCCCCAGACGGACTTTTCCCCTCCTGAGGAAAGAACATCTTCCCACACAAACAGCCGGTTTCTCTCGGAAACACTGGCAGCCCACAACAGGCACAGCAGAGGGAGTGTTTTTACCAGCTGCGCTGCCACACAGACACCAGGACTCCCCTCATCTGCAGAAACACCAGGGAAGAGCCTCCGCCCTCCCTCCCAGCCCACGGGAGATTCCTGCTGGAAGGAGCTGGCGGGGGATTCCCAGTCATTCCTGGGATTTCCAGGAAAGAACCGACTCCTCACCTGGGACTAAAACAGCCCTGAGAGGAGCTCGATCGCTCAAACTCGGAGCGTCGCTTAGCAAGCGGCACAGCAGCAGGATTTGGAGGACGAGCGAGTTTTGGTGCCGTAATTAAAAGGATGAGCCAGAAGCGGGTTTTGGCGCATGTTTTGCTCTTTTATTATCGGCTCATGAGAATAAAGTTTCCACCAGGGAGTAAAAAGAAAAACGCGCTATGGTATCTCACCGTTTTGACTTTAGTTCTCAAAATTACTACTTTTATGACTCGTAATTGTGAGATATAAAGTCCTAATTACCGAAAATAAAGTCGTAATTCTGAGACTTTAAGTCGCAATTGCGAGATATACTAGTCTTCTGTCACATCAGCTAAAAAATCACTTTGTGGGTTGGGTGGTGATATAGATAATAGACTCACAAAAAAAAAAAACATAAAGATACTTCAATTTTTCAAATTGTACATCCTCTTCCTTCTCTTTAAAAAAATAATTAAAAAAGTGCCAATTGATCAAGAAAATGTCATTTTATGATGGGGTATTGAAGAAGAGTTTGTTAGTCCTGTCTTTTGCAATAAACACACTGTATTTTTGTTTTACATTTCACCTTTAATATATATTTCACTTTTTTATATCAACAGTATCCCAGTTAAGTTTTTAGCCTTGGAAAGAGGTTCAGACACAGTGACCCTTTCCCTGATCCTGCTGGTGGATCTCAAGAAATCCAGGGATCCAGTCACTATCTGGGATCTTTGCCCATCAGTCAAACACACAAAATCACAAGTAATAATAATAATAAAAAAACAACTTTATTTTATATAGCGCCTTTTAAGGTGGCTTCTCAAAGTGCTTTACAGAATGACAACAA